TCGAAAACATTTCAAAGGAAGAAGGAACTGAATTAAATGAGTGATTAGATATAAGGAAAAGAGAAGACGTGAAGAAACCTGTGGTTTTCCGGCTTGAAGACAATGGTTCAATTTAAGAAACACATAATGACTCAGGTACAGAGAATAAATATAGGGTAGGCCTTAACGGGCTGTTAGTCTGATGTCAAGAAATGTTACAGTAACTACCCCGTGTTAGGTAAGGAATGTACTGGGTGTGGGCTATGTCAGCCAGTAAAGCTGAGTCATTACACCTGAAGTCATTGTGTATATCAATGAGGTACACCAGTCCCGGCTGAGTTGGCTTAGCCTATATCAAAAGCAGCCCATGTCTAGAATTGCTCCAGTCTTACAAGGCAATGCTTAGAAGGGAATATTTGCACTTCCAAAGTTCTCATGAGGCTCTCACTCATTCAGATAAAATCATCTCAACTGTGAACCTGCTGTGAAGATTTTGAAAGCTGGAAACTTGCCTGGAAACTAACCTGGAAAATGTGACTCTCTGCCTGTATCCAGACCTTCATAACATCCTTCCATATTTCTGTATCTTTAAATATGCAAATGATTTGATTTACCCAAGCATCTGATGTCCCCATCCATCAGAGCCTCCTCTTGACATTTGTTAATACTGTAAATACTATCATTGCACAGACAATGGGATTCATGCAACACCCCATGCCCATTGTAACTAAGTCTCTGTGAGGAAACAGGACAATGAAGGGGAGAGGTATGATACTATGAGATAGCTAAAGCCCGTGGATTCATCTGTTCTCACACTGCTGTAAGAAGGAAATTGACGACTGGCTGGATGCGGTGGCTCAGCCTGTCATCCCGCCTTGGGAGGCTGAGGCAGGCTGATCGTTTGAGGATAGGAGTTTGAGACCAGCCTGGCCAACATGGTGAAACCTGTTTACTAAAATGCAAAAATAGCCAGGTGTGGTGGCACGCGCCTGTAATCCAGCTACTCGGGAGGCTGAGGCAGGAGGAATCGCTGGAACCCAGGAGGCAGAGGTTGCAGTGAGCCCAGATCGCACCACTGCGACTCCAGTTGGGCTACAGGAGTGAGACTCGTCTCAAAAAAAAAAAAAAAAAAAAAAAAAAAAAAGAAGAAGAAGAAGACGACTTACCTTCTTTACAATTTTTAATTGAATTTTTATTGAAGAATGTTTTACATACACAAAAGCACATTGTCTCAAATGCAGACCTAGTTGACTTTTCACACACCAAACACACCCATGTAACACCACCCAGATGAAGAAACAAAACATTCTCAGGACTTTCAAAGCCTTCCTCATACTCCCATCCCGGGGGGAGATTGCTATTTTGACTTAAACACTATGAATTACTTTTGCCTGTTTTTATACATTACATGCATGAAACAAAACAGTATGGACATCTTTTATATCTGGCATCTTTCACTAAACACTTTCTGTTTTGAAATTCATCTGTATAATCATTCATTTCATTGTTGTGGTATATTTCATCATGTGATGTATCACCATTAATTTATCCTCTACTACTCATGAGCATTTTGATCATTTCCAGTTTGGGGTTATTGCAAATAGGGCTGCTATAAACATTCTAATACATGTCCATAGGTGAATAGATATAGATGCATGTTTTTATTATACTTTATGTTCTAGGGTACATGTGCACAACATGCAGGTTTGTTACGTATGTATATGTGTGCCATGTTGGTGTGCTGCACCCGTTAACTCGTCATTTACATTAGATATATCTTCTAATGCTATCCCTCCCCTAGCCCCCCACCCCACAACAGGCCCCAGTGTGTGATGTTCCCCTTCCTGTGTCCAAGTGTTCTCATTGTTCAATTCCCACCTATGAGTGAGAACATGCGGTGTTTGGTTTTCTGCTCTTGCGATAGTTTGCTGAGAATGATGGTTTCTAGCTGCAATAGATGCATTTTTGAGAGGTAATCTCTAGGGGTAGAATTGCTGGATCATAGAGTAGACATATGTCCAGTTTAGTTGCCAAAGAATTTTGTAAGGCAGTTGGACCAATTTATACTTTCACCAGCAGGTTTTCAGAGTTACGGCTGGGATACATTTTTACTAATACTTGATATTTTATCATTTTAGCTATTCTTCTGAGTATGAATTCTGAAATTGTACTTTGTGTTTGATTTTAATTTACCTAATGACTAATGAAGTTAACCAAGTTTTCTTATGGCTATAAACCAATTGGATATCATTTTTTTGTGAAGGTTCTTCAAGTCTTTTCCCATTCTCTTGGTGGGTTGATTATCTTTTCAGATTTATTTGTAAAAGTTCTTTATATTTGGGGGGCACAAGCCCTTAGTTTGACATGAGTTTTGCAAATACTGCTTTCGAGATTGTAGCTTGCCTTTCACTCTCTTACTGGTGTCCATATTAGTGTTCTAGGGCTGCCATGACAAAATATCAAAGACCTAGGGGGATTAAACAATAGAGTTTTGTTGTTTTTTTATTCTCACAGTTCTGGGGCAGGGAGTCTGGGATCAAGGTGTGAGCATGCTTGTTTTCTTCCGTGCCTCTCTCCTTGGCTTGCAGACGGCCACCTTCTGGCTGTGCTATTACATGATCTTTACTCTGCATGTCCACATGTCTGGTGTTTCTCTCTGTGTCCAAATTTCCTCTTTTCTTCTGAGGACACCAGCCAGATTGCATTAAGGTATAATTTTAAAACCACATCTTAGCTTCATTACCTCTTTAAAGACCTTATCTTCAAATATGGTTACATTCTGATGTACTGGGGGTTAAGACTTCAACAACATATGAATTTCGGAGTGGGACACAATTCAGCATGTCTCAGTGTCTTTCTTTTTTGAGATATTATTGACATACCATAGAGTTCACCATTTTAAAGTATACAATTCATAAGATTATGCAACCATCACCACTGATTCCAGAAAATTTGTATCATCCCACAGAGACACGGCACACAAATTTGGTGTCCTATAGTACACCTTTTAATGTAAAGAGACAAGTTCCCACATCCTTTCAATGCTAATACCCCAAAGTGAACATGGGGTGTATGTTACATATACATTTACCCATTGCACATGTGCTCAACCTGCTCATAAATAGGTATAGCTTTGCCCCCAAACTGACTGTATTAGTTTGTACTCCCACTGCTATAAAGAAATACCTGAGACTGGGTAGTTTATAAAGAAAAGAGGTTTAATTGGCTTCTGGTTCTGCAGGCTGTACAGAAAGCATGGCAGTATCTGCTTCTGGGGAGCCACAGGGAGTTTTTAGTCATGGCAGAAGGCACAGGGGGAGCAGGCCTCTTACATGGCAGGAACAAGGGGAAGAGAGAGTCAGGAGGTGCTATACACTTTTAAACAACCAGATCTCATGAGAACTCACTCACTATACATTACCAAGTGGGGGGATGGTGCTAAACCATTCACGAGAACTCCACCCCCATGATCCAATCACCTCCCACCAGGCCCCACCTCCAACACTGGGGATTACAATTCAACATGAAATTTGGTGGGGACACACATCCAAACCATATCACCTACTGAGTGTATATGACTCTATTATGTAATATGGACCCTGTCAAACATAAACCCCAACCTACTCTTTCCTTCTTTGAAGAGAGATCACCTTCAGTCCATGCCAGATACTATTTCTTCACAGTTTGCAAACTGTTATCACCAATAAATCTCTCTTTTCTACTACTTAGCCATCCTGCTGGTCTTTTGGATGACAATGTGAAGGTCCAGTCTGGCATTGCCAGTCATATATCTCTCTGTTAACCCAAAAATTTAGTTAAAGTCTGCTCTGCAACCTCCTGTGTGACTGCAATTTTGAGAAAATTTTTAAAACAGGGGCAGCAGGGGAATGTTTTCTACCGTTGATCAAGATGCAGTGGAGAAGCAGCGACCAGCCACAGAAGGTAAGCGGGAGTGAGCATGAGATTTCAGAGGAGGCAAATAGTGGAAGAGTTAGTGACTTGTCAGAAATATAAAGCTCCCAATACCCAGCAATATAAGGGGAACACATGTGGATGAATCCTGAAGAGCTCTGCTCCGCCCCCACGGGTCCCTTTTATCATTTCTGTGCTGCAGGCATCTGGGTGCTGTTGCAAAGCAGAATGACAGCCCCGTTTCTTTGCCTCAAATTGGAGCAAATTTTGAGGAATAGTTTATAGCCCAAAGTTCCCCTTTGGGATAAAGCTATGCTGCTACCTTCCTCTCCTTAGGATGGTCCCTGATAGCCCTGCAGGGGCCCTTCCCTTTCCAGCCTTGCCACCACCCCTCCCTTTCCTGTTTTTCCCAGTAACGCTTCCTGAATACATTACTAACACATGGTTCCTCTTCTCAGGGTCTACTTCTGAGGAATCTGACCTAAAAGAGACACCAAAGTCATTTAAGTTAAAATATTAAAGAGCGATCAGATTGAACTGAAAGATTTGGGTATGCCCAAGAGGAGCCTTGTGTTACACATAGATTAAGCTTTCAAACACTTTCGAACTTGTTATTATTGGGTGAAAGGGATGTCAAACAAAACCAAATACCCCTTAAATAAAAGTGGAAACAAGAAGTTACTCTAGAGAAATACTAGTAATCAAATAGGGTGAGCATGGAGGAGACTCAGAAGAAGATGGCATTATTTGATCTGATACAGGTCAGGAAGAATAAAAAATGAAAATGTAGGGTAAATATTTTTCAGATAAAGGACGCGCTGGGCACGGTGGCTCACGCCTGTAATCCCAGCACTTTGGGAGGCTGAGGCGGGCGGATCACAAGGTCAGGAGATCGAGACCACGGTGAAACCCCGTCTCTACTAAAAATACAAAAAATTAGCCGGGCGCGGTTGTGGGCACCTGTAGTCCCAGCTACTCCGGAGGCTGAGCCAGGAGAATGGCGGCAACCCGGGAGGCGGAGCTTGCAGTGAGCTGAGATCACGCCACTGCACTCCAGCCTGGGCGACAGAGCCAGACTCTGTCTTAAAAAAAAAAAAAAAAAAAGGACGCAAGTATGTGTTTTTTGAGGACAACATACACAATAAAGTAGAAAAGTAAGTTAATCAGAGAAACATCAGAGAATGACTTGCAGAGAGCCCTAATTTTTCATTACTCAGAAATCACAGTGAAAACAAAGATAATTTGATTTTTGGTAGGTAATTATTTATTCAGCCAGTCCACCAAATCCAGGAAACAGGAACTTAAACTGAACTAAGACAAAAATTATGAATTGTTTCATATGATCAGTGCCACTAAGAATATTAGTGAATTCTCTTAAACACAGATATGTTTCCCCAGGAAATAATAGTACTTGAGAAACATAGAATTGCTAAAGAGAGAAATGTAACTGTTTCTCTGTTTTGTGGGAAAAGAAAAGGAAAAATCGATGTACTGGTTTCTAACTGGTGTTGTTCCTCTTCAAGTTTCATACGTGTTCCGGTCGTTTAATCTCCAGAGACAGCTTATACACCTCCAGGGTCATTTTCGAATCCTCTGGGTGTGGGAGACACTGCATGAGTTTTCTACCCGCAAGCACTGACTCACAACCTTCAGAGGTTACCTAAATGAAATAAAGCAATCGTTTTCGAGAGGCTTCTCTCCAAACTAAATCCGAAGATGTAAGATTTTTTCTGGATGTATCACTGATGACCACAAAATTGGAATATCAAAACCCTCCTCAGGACGGATGAATAAAATCCCAAAGAAACTAGGGTCTCAGCAAAGTGTTCTCCCTTGGCTGTCAGGCAGCAATCAGTAGCTGGTGAAGCAGGGAAGGAACAGCACTGCAGACAATACCCAGGGGGCCTCCTTAGGGGCAACAGGAGGGACAGTTCTGATGGGCGCATCTGAAATGAAGCAAAAGCATGGCATTTCTTGTAGACAGTATAAGGCTGGGGATCAGGTCAGCTGGATCTATGAGACCTTCCTATCTGGGGGTGTGGTCCTTCTTGAGCTTGCCTTAACAAGCACACCAAAGTGCTTAGAAGGTGACGGTGCTAATTCTGTAAGTGATGTGTCCGAAATAAATCCTGCCAAAAGTCACATCTCATTGGTGTTGGCTAGGACAGTGCTTTGGAGGAGACTATCATTTTTAGAATGGGATAGGATGCCCTGAAATGTGTGCCACTTTTGTAACCCCCAGTGTTGGAGGTAGGGCCTGGTGGGAGGTGATTGGACCATGAGGGTGGAGTTCTCGTGAATGGTTTAGCACCATCCCCCCACTTGGTACTGTACAGTGAGTATGATTCTCAGAATAAGATTTTATAATAGTAAGAATATTGAGAGTTATGAAACACTGATAAATTATACCTGGATGGGATGCTGAGAGTTGTTCTTTACCTCCATTTATTTATGATTATAACAATAAGATTAATAATAAGGCTAATAATGTTATTACACATACTACATGTCAACGTAAGTACTAATGCAAAACATTATTACCTCGATTTTGCTAAAGAGAAAAATTAGGTACAGATAGTTTGTGTGACTTGTCTAATATTGCATAGCCTTTGGGTGGCATGATTATGATGTAAACCTAGGCACTGTGGTCCTAGAGTCAGAGTTTTCAAAATTAGTACAGTATCTCCAAACCTTGATCTTTTCATGGTCCTAAGTATGTAATTTTTATTCTCATATTCTTAATATTTTGCTGTGTTAAATGGAGGCAGTGGTGGGGAATTAGCTCCTTGAGTTGCTATTAATAGATTAGTTAAAAAAAAAAAAAAAAGGTTGACCCTATCCTTTTGGTTGACCAAAAATCTCCTATCAGGTCAACTTCATTATGAGAAGGTGGGAGCACACGTGAGGTTCTAATGGAGACATCAAATACTTGAAGTATGTTGCGAATTTACCCATAGGATTCCTCATTTAAACTTAAGTAGATGCCCACTAAAATTTTGCCAAATCCTCACTGACACTCTCAAATTAAAAATTGTATCTCTAAGTCCACTAACAGAACCCTGTATACACAGACACCTGAATTATAACGAAGGTCACACTGCAGAGTTGTGTGGAAACTATAGTTTATTAAATAAGTGGTATATGGTTAATTGAATAGCCATTGGAGAAGAACAAACTTTAACCACTACTTTCCACCATAAACACACAGGAATTCCAAGGGATTTGGAGATACTCATGTGAAAGGTTAAAACAACAAAGCTCTGGAAAATAACATAAGGAAATATTTTTTGTGATCTTGCTGCAGGCAAATATTTCTTAAACAGGATATGAAAGGTGCCAACATCAAGGAAAAAAATTATAAATAGAACTAAATTAGAATTTATAACTTCTATTTATCAAAATTTGAACACTCATACACTGCTCGTGGAAATTTAAATTGTTGCAATCACCTTTGAACAAAATTTGGCATTATCTACTAAAGATGAATATATGGCTGGGTGGTGTGGTGGCTCACATCTGTAATCCCACACTTTGGGAGGCCGAGGCAGGTAAAGGAGGATCACTTGAGCCCAGGAGTTCAAGACCAGCCTGGGCAACAAAGAAAGACCCTATCTCTACAAAAAACTTAAAAAATTAACCAGGTATGGTGGTGCATGCTTGTAGTCCCGGCTACTTAGGAAGCTGAGGCAGAAAGATCCCTTGAACCCAGGAGTTGGAGGTAACATGGAGCTATAATCATGCCACTACACTTCAACCTGGGTGACAAAATGAGAACTTGTCTCAAAAAAAAAAAACAAAAAGAGATGAATATATGCATACTCTATGAAATAGTAATCCCACTTTTAAGTTTATTCCCAATAGAAATATTTGCACGTTTGTATCAAGAATCATGTGCAAGAATGTTCATAAGAGCACTGTTCATGATAGCCTATAACATGAAAATCCTACTTTTATAAGATACATAAAATGTGTTATGTTTATCCAAAGATTATACAACAAGGAAAATAAATAAGCTATCACCCCATGCAAGAACACATAGATGATTTTCAAAAACATAATACTGAGTGAAGAAGACAGGCACAAAAGAATACATACATGATTTCCTTTATATTAAAAGTAATGGTAAAAACCGCAATGACTTTTGCACCAACCTTAATATAATGCTAAAAAGTTGATAAAACTAGTCTGTGATGCTAGAAGTGAGACTAGTTGGGAAGGAGAGTTGGGGAGTCACTGGGAGAGGGCACACGGAACACTTCTGGGATGCTGGTAGTGGTGATGCTTCTTGACTTGAGTGGTAGTTTGTCATGGTGGGTTCACTTTGTGATAATTTATTGACCTGTACACCTAAGTGTTGGGGTCTGCGTGTTTCCTAAACAAAGGAATGAACACACAAGACAACACAGGACAAGACAAACATGGCGGCCGCCCCGAGCAGCACGCTCTGCTTTATTTTATACACGCTTGTGGAATTTTACCACGTCACAAGACACGAGTTGTTTTTATGTCATGAGTTGTTTTCCCGACCTTTCCCTAACTTTCTGAGTTCTCAAGATGCTTAAACATTAACCAGTTCCCAGAGTCTGCTGTTTGCGGCTGACTCTTTTGTTCTTCCTGTTTGCAGAGAAGAAACGTCATGCTTTGTTTGCAAGAGCATAACTATTGGGAACATCTCGTTTGCGAGCACGTGGTCCTCTACACCTAAGATTTGGACAAAGTTTTGTAGTATGTTATATTTAAATTAAAACTTTTATTTAAGCAAAAAGTGGCCTTCCAGATGACCTTTGGAAAGATACATTGATAAAAGTAGTGTTCAAGAGTGATAAACTGTGATCATTCATGCTATTAAAATATTGTACCATGTGTATATATTATTTACATAAATTGAATAAATAAATAAAGTGTACATTTCTAAGTGCTGCCTCTGTCTAGGAGGAGACTCTCGTTTGACTTTTCATAGAGGCTTTACCTTCTTAGCAAAGGCACTCAGTAAGGTTGGAGTTAACCTTTACATTGAAGGGCTGGAGCCGACCAATGTGAATTTCTGCAGGTGACTTTAGCCTCTCCAATTAGAACATATCCATCATCACGGCGATAGTGTACCAGAGTAGTAGAGAATAAAAATGATCTCGCATCTCCATAGGACCCATGGCCAATGGGAGGAACCATTCTGCAAACTTGAATGGTGAGAGAGAAGGTAGAGGAGAATGAGTTAGAGTTTCATTTAATGAACAATTCAGTGAGCAACCCTTCTCGTTACACAGAACTAGGTCATTAACTTATTGTACTGCTGATGTACATTTCATCTCCTTGACAAAATCCGTAAACTTTTACACTGTTCATGGACTTTTGGGTACAAAAGCATTAATTTAACCACAGGAAGTTACTCCAAAACAGAATCATATTCAGTAATCATGAGGCTAAATAAAAAGAAAGACCACAAATTAATTTTCAAAAAGCAGACAGTGCAATTTAAAAACGGCCGAGAGACTTGAATAGATGCTCCTATAAAGGGGCTATACAAATTGTCAACAGACATATTAATAGCTGCTTATTCTCATGGGTCATCAGGAAATACAAATAAAAGCCACAATGAGAAATCACTACACACTCACCACAGAATGTCTACGATTGAAAAGTATTATCATACCAAAGTTTTCACGAGTAGTACACAATGGAACTCCAATGAACTACCTAAGGAAATATAAATTGGTACAGCCACTTCCAAAAACATTTGTGGTTATCTCCTAGAACCTGGCAATTAAAATCTTGGGTATTTTCTTGGCAGAAATACACAAACATGTACACTAAAAGACAATCTCAGAAATGTTTTGAGCAACATTATTTGTAATGTGCCCAAACATGAAAGAGCCTACAAATCCATCAACTCTAGAATAGGTAAGTAAATTATAATCCATTCAACTGATGGAATACTATACAGCAATAAAAATGAATGAGATACTATTTACAAAAAAATGGGTGAATCTCACAAATACATTGAGCAAAAGCCGATAGACCATTAATGTATAATTCTATTCCATTTTTAAAGCTTTTAAAAATTCAAAACTAAGCTACAGAACAAGTGTAAATAAAATGAGGAAATGATTACTCTTCAAGTCAGGATGATGGCTACATTTGAAGAAGGATGAAGTGGTAAATGGGAGGGCCCCCCATGGGACTTCTGGGGGCTGGCAATGTCCTACATCTCTACCTGGGTGAGATTTTCATTAAGAGTTTGATTTTTGATGAATCATGTTGCTGTACATTTTCACTTTGTATACTTTTCTACATGTGTGATATATTCTAATAAGCTTTTTAAAAAAGAGTTGATTATCTTTGAAAATGGGTAGAGAAAAAAAATAAAAATAAATAAATAAATAAAAAAGAAAAAAGAAAATGGGTAGAGAGTGAATGAATCCAGATGAGTCTCCACCTCTTCCAAATACCACCCCCTCCACAAAGAGAATGTTTTGTCATTTTGCAATTTTTGGATAGAGGTTTGTTGAAACAATGCAAAACAATGGCATATTTGGAAGTAAGAAATATGCAAAGAGCACTTTAGGAAGTTGAGGCAGGCAGATCACTTGAGGTCAGGTGTTCGAGACCAGCATGGCCAACATGGCAAAACCCCGTCTCTACTAAAAATACAAAAATTAGTGTGGTGGAGCACGCCCATAATTCAGCTACTCAGGAGACCGAGGCACGAGAATCGCTTGAACCTGGGAGGTGGAGGTTGTAGTGAACTGAGATCATGCCACTGCACTCCAGCCTGGGCGACAGAGCAAGGCTCCACCTCAAAAAAAAAGAAAGAAATATGCAATGTTGAGTTGTTCAGTTAGCCTATCAGAAAAGGAATGATCTATAGTGCCAAAAGTTTTACAGACAAGATTTAGTGCAATTTAATAAATTTAGAGCACTGAGTATGTTGATAAAGCACCACACTAAGGGAGGATTTCCTGTTAGGACTGAATCTAAGTTAAAGCTGTTTCCAACTTATTTGCTAAAAAGCAAATTAAAACTGCTGGCTCCTTTCTCATGGATTCCATCCTCACCAAGTAATACTCCTCCATGTGTGCACTGTTCTCGGGCACTCTCACCTGTTCAGTGTTCCCCTATTAAGCCATGTGCATTCTCACTTCTGTGACTTTTCTTCTGCCATTTGCCCTACTACAATGCTCTCTACCTTTCCCCACGTGCAGTCCTGGCACACGGTGATCATTCCTGCCTGCGGTTGCCTATGGCTCTCAATAGGAATGATATTTTGAGTTCTTAGCCACTTGCATTTTATATATGTTTATCATATATTTATTCTACAGAAAAGGAAACGCAACCTTAGAGATGTCAGTTATTCTGCATAAGATCACAGCTACTAAGTGCCAGTGACATGAATCAGACTCAGGGATTAAACTCAGGCTTCTCTCAGTTCAAAACCCATTGCTCCTTCTTAGAATACTACTATTTTCTGCTCTCTATAGCAAGCATTGGGTAAGTACTTTATGTGGCAGCTTTGGCAGTTAAAAGGCTGTAAAATGGAAGTCTTGGCTGAAAAACAATATTCTTGTTATTTGCAAAGTCAAGTAACCCTCTCTCACTGACAAAGTAGGTGACTCAGAACCGGTTAGAAAGCTCTTATCTCCCTCACCTAAATCAAAAACAATGAAATGACAGGAACAGAAGATATTTTAAGGATAATATTTGGGAAGGATTTTTTTTTGTAGTGAAGCTTTTGTTATCCTGTGAGCCCCATTCCATCACTTCCATGAGGAAAATGTGTGGGTGCACTTTTCCTTCACATTAAGAGAGGGACTCTAGGAAGCCCACTGAAAAAGCCTAATATGGCTCCTCTCAGTTTGGACAGGGGGACACAGTGGATTAGTGTTGGACTCCTGCCAGGGAAATCTAAAATGCAAAAGATGGGCTGTCCAGTGGCTCTGATAGTGGGAACAAATGAAAGATCTCTGCTGCTTTGAGATTGACCTATACTCCTGATGGTATTCAGAAAAACGGATGGGTGAGTACTTCCAGGGAATTAGAAATCAGATGCATGAGAAAGTCATTCATGGTGGAGTTGTCTTCAGGCCTGTCTAAAAGAGCCACGAGGGTAGGAGGAAGACCTCAGTAAAAACAAAATAAAACAAAAACAAAACCTCTAGGAGTCACCAGATATCAAGGAGATAGGAAAGAGCAAGTGGTCAACCAGATCGGAGATGGGTTTGACCACACCCAGGGAATTGTTAACAGATTCGCAGTGAAGGCAGAGGACCCCATCCCCACCCCTCCACACACACAAAATACAAGAGAAAGAGCAAGTCTGAAGCACCCAGGAGGCCAAGGATTAGCTCAAGTCAAACATTGTTTCTCTCACCTCTTCTCCCAAAGTTTCAACTCAGGGGAGCTCAGAAAGCATAGCAACAGTCAGTCCAAAGGAAATGTTTGTTTTTGTGGCGAGCAATAGAAATTCACCTGTATATAAGTCCACAGCCTCCACACAGCCTTTCCTAACCCTCAGATTAAACACCTCCATAGAAACAGAAAACACAGCTTTTAATTTTTATAAATAAATAAATACATATGTAGAGCTCTTTGCTAGGTTTTTGGAGTAATATTAAGGGACATACTTGCAATGTATTTGAAAAGTTAAACCATAGCCATGTAAATAGTCATACCATAGAACCAGTCACCCAAGTGCCAGAAGATTCGGACAGAAAAGGAGTTCTATAGGAGAAGGTGGTGACAGAACAGAGGACTGGATTATCAAGGGAAGACTTCACAGAATAAGGGGAGATACATCCTCAAGGGTGGGTAAAGTTGAGTCATTGAAAAAATGGGAGAGGCAGAATATACTGAGGCAATAGGCAAGTCTGGCATCAGATGGCTGTTGCAAGAGAAGTGGGAGGTAGGATCAGAAAGGGAGGCTCAGGTTGACAAGACATTAAACACCCTTTCAGGGGGTTGGGATCAGAAGTAATGGGAAGATTTGGGGGATCAGAAGAGAAAGGAAAAAATAAGGAGGAACATGGAGAAATAATTCAAAGACTTGTTGACAGATTGGAGAAAGTCTTCCTCCATTACCTCAGAGTATAAGAAGGGAACTCAGAGGTGGAGTTGGCCTCTTTATCCTGTACCGACACTGTTACCTAAAGTAACACCATCCCTCAATAGTTTTCATGCTTCTGATGTGAAGAATTATCTTCCAAATACAGTTGCTTCCTTAATAAATCATGCTTTCCTCCTCAATGATCAAAAAAGCATGGCTTCCACCCTTTATACGATCTACCAGCTCTCAGAGGAGCACCCAGCTATTATTTTGGGGTCAAGATTTCCCTCCTAAACATCCAAATCCTCCATTTTTGATGCCATGATAGCTGTTTCAGGGATTATGTTTATAAATATTTTAACGTGTTATAAAAATTAGTTCTCTCAAGATAAGAAACAATGTTGGCTAGTGACAGAGAAAACTACAACTTTGCTAAAAGGACATTCTATTTAAATAATATAACAATCATTAATTTCCGTAACAACAGCTCTTCAACCAGTTCTGGCAAGTTCTCGCAATCTCATACATTTCTCATTCATTTGTAAAAAACTTCCCTATATTTGAATAACAATGTGTTACTGTTGCGGTAAACTGAGGAACGGAGAGACTTTTAGATGCTGCTTGACTTTGGAGAGTTCCCTATTCCCGCCACAACTCTGAGCTGTAGCGCAGCTCCTATTAGCCATCTGCAGATTGACACTAGTTTTAGTCGGCCCCACACTTTCTTGGAGCACACAGTCCAGGCTAAGAGATCTGTGACTCCCCACTTCGAAACTGTTGAGGCTAATTAGGCCCCTCCATTCACACACTTTCACACACTTTCAGTTCCCATGTTTGTAATTGGGGTGGTGAGCCACTCTCGCCACCTCTAGTTTCCTAGTTAGGGTGGTGAGCCACTCTCCCCACCTCCAGTTTCCTAGACGACTTAGCGAGCCACGCCCTTGTCCTGTGTTGGCAGGGTGTGAGTTTCATCTGAATTGATGAGCCACTTCCAACGCCCCCAGCCCCTCTGGGTCAGACTATTCGGCACACCCCGGGAGGTGATCAGGCTCCCCTTCCATCCAAAGGAAAGGTCCTGCCTTGGGCCCCCAAAACCTTACCACGGTTCCTGAAGCGTGCTGTTTCAGAAATCGTCCTGTAGCTCCTTTCAGGTTCCGTTGCACTGCTGGGTAGGGGGCACCAGGTCACCGGAGAGCTGATCTCCCCTCCAAGCTGCAGTTCTCCCAGCGGAGCTTGGGGTCACCGGTTTCCCAAGTCCCAGGCTCCACCCCCCAGAGGCAAAGGAGACAGTAAGCCCGCCGTCTCCAGTCCCTTTGTGGTTGCCAAAAACATTGTGGTAAAGTGAGGAACGGAGAGACCAATACGGAGTACAGGAGGATTTGTTTATTTTTAGGTACGTACCGGCTCAGAGGATTTATATGCAAAAAGCTGAGCATTGAACAAAGATAGAGCGGTGTTTTTATAAGCGGCCTTACCAAAGCAAAACAGAAGCAGTTAATTATACAGTGACAGGTCACATAATTTATAGCATAACATAACTTGTGACCTTGCATAGCTTGTGACCTTGTAGCTGCATTGAAAGAAAAATAAAAACTGTCTAAATACAGACATTTGCAAAACATAATGATGCTTAAGAAGCCTGGGAAAAGAGTAACGGTAAAAGAATTTGTCTTTTTTTTTTTTTTTTCCTTTAACCTTGTTCTAAAATGGAGTGGGGGTGTTTGGAGCCTATTCCTTTGGCCTTGGCTATTCAGACAGCATTATCTTATAACTATCCTTAAAATAAGCTGCTAGGCAAAGGAAAACTTTTTTTTTTTTTTTAATCTTTGCCTTGCCACATTTTGGGCCTTAGCTTTCACTTTTTTTAAAGTAAATAAATGCAGTACTGATTATTATTATTATTTAAATTTCTGCCTTACTACATTTGTATAAGGCTTTATAGCTTACAAAGTGCTCTATATTTTACTTCAGCAAATTCACTCAGAATTTGTGATAACAGGCAATATATTGTGCTTTGTGGATGGAAATTTTTTCTGATCAATTAGTAACTGAGATTGTAGATGGTATAACTAACTTAATTGGAAAATAATTGTGTCTTAAGCATTTAGGAACATTTATTTAAATATAAGAAATTGATTTAAAAATTAAAGGTTATTCCTTTCTAAAGCAGCTCTGCAAAGATTTTTGCATATGAACACTTGTTTTAGACCTAATAACAGCCTCTATCTAAATTAGAACAATTTCCTTGACATTTTGAGATTCTTCATTTTTATTAATAACATAGTCACTTTATTCTCTCAAAAATCTTGTGAACTACCACCATTTGACAATATTTGATTAATTGTTCAATATGAATTTTTCTCATACCTTGGAGAAACTGTCCTCTTTTACCCATAACCATTGTACTCACCACACAAGCCAGAAGGGCACCACAGTAGAGTCAAGACCCCAAAGAGGCCTAGTGCTGGGAAAATGCTCTGCAACTTGAGAGACATGGCACAGAGTCTCAGAGGGGCCACAATGGGGCTCGACCTTCTCCGATACCTTGAATCAAGATGAAGAAAAGTTCTCTAAGTAACAGCTGAAATATGCCTATGCCAAGAAGTTCAGCCTTGGCAAAGTCTCAACAATGGGTCACTGAAAGGGAGGGGCAAGGAGTGTGACTGGTAGACCGGATGCTGAGCACAGTTCCGACAGAGGGGAACTGATACGGCCCTTTCTTGGGGAGAAGATTCTGGGGCACCCTCTGAGATTCTATATGTATCTCCCTAAGACTTTATCACTGTTCAGGCGGAGACAGTGATGAGTCTCTTTCTGGGTATATGCACAATTCTTCTCTGAGGGAACAAGAGTAAAAGGCAAAAGGACTGCAGCTCCTGTCACACAGGGTAAGTGGTGGCTGTCCAGGAAGGAGAGGTCGCAGCATGAGAGAAAGGCCAGGCTGAGAAGCAGTTCCTGTCCAGGAAGCGATATCCTCACTGAGGCAGATAAACCGCCCATAGAAGAATGAACATTTTTTTTAAAGTTTGCAAAGTTAAACTTTTCTAAACAGCCCAGCCAGAACAAGTAAAACAAGTCTCTACATTTAAAAATACTCAAGAATCTAGTTCAAAACAATAATTAGTCTTACAAGAAATATACGTGAGTGGGAACCTCTATTTCCTACTTCCTGGGATTTCTGATGTACCTATGACACCAAAGATTCACTCTGTGAAGCTATCTTACTCTAAAAACTAGTTTGTGTTTGCAGCACAGGAAAAGCTTGCTGTGAAATTTAGATGCTTGAGGATGATAAATTGGGAAGAAAGGAAGATTTATTGTGACTTACAGAATATCTGAATGGTGCTTGTTCAGAGTGAAACCCAGCATTTTGCTGTAAGCAACAAAAGATATGTTTTCGAAGGGCACATTTATTATTCTTCATGGGAAGATAACCACAGGACAAAATTTCTCTTAGCTATCTGGCATTGCCTAGCTATTCACCCAGACCATTTCCTAAATTTAGTCTCCTAAAGTGAGACAGACAAAACCAGCAATGTGAGTTGTATCTTTTGCCCACCAGCTGTGGGTTTCTGTTCCTGTAAGAGACAAAGATTGTTGGCTGAACAAGAGAATAAACTCTGGAATTTGTCCTAAAGTGATCTTCATTACCCGGTTAAGCTGGAATGACTACTACATACCAATAATAGCCAAAATGCTTATCTCTCAAAAATAAATAGAAAAAATTACCAAATATAACTGAGTAAATGTCTTTGGAATATTGATGAAAGCACAGTTAAATCTCAACTTTCTAGGGAGAAAAGAAAACAAATCCACTAAGTGGTTGCTTCCTTTAGAAAGAGGAACACAATAAAGTAGTTTAGCTGGGTGCAGTGGCTCACGCCTGTATCCCAACACTTTGGGAGGCTGAGGCAGGCAGATCACTTGAGGCTAGGAGTTTGACACCAGCCTAGCCAACATGGAAAAACCTGGTCTATACTAAAAATACAAAAATTAGCTCGGCGTGGTGATGAAAGTCTGTAATTCCAGCTACTTGGGAGCCTGAGACGTAAGAATTGCTTGAACCTGGGAGGAAGAGGTTACAGTAAGCTGAGATCACACCGCCGCACTCCAGCCCGGGCAACATAGCGAAACTCTGTCTCAAAAAAAAAAAAAAAAAGAATTTAAATGTTTAACCAGAAGGTTTGTTAACCTGGCTTTAATTTTTGAGCATGAGATGTACCAGAACTTTACATAAATTATCATAATTGATCTCAAACAGCCCTGTGACACGGCTCTAATCTTCCTCATTGCATAGATGAGGGGACAGATTCAGCTAGATTACATAAACTGCCCTAAATCTCTCAGATATTTTAGTGACTAAGCCAAATTCTGCCTAAGAATGATTCCAAAATCCAAGATTTTTCGTTTTACTAAAATAATTTTCACTCATTGGCCAAAATGACTACCTGTGAGTTTACTGACTGGGCCACTTGGGAGTAAATGAACACAGTTGGGTTTTACTCAGTGATATGCTCACCCTCCAGTTGCTGCTCATGCTGCAGTTAATGGGTTATACCTGTGACATTCTGCAGAGAATGCCTTGCTATAATAGGAGCCATGTAATCCTGATGTACCAAGGAAGTTATGCCCCACCCCCAAGAAGCAACCAATGTCGTACTGGTATTGGGGTACAAGAGCCCTGATCCCTTGACCCAAGTCTGGATGACCCTGTGATGCAATTTGTACTGAAGCCCCTGTTGATTTGGTGTAGGCTATGCGTTTCCTGTGAACATGTTCTTGCTCGGTTCTTTCCCCTCCCTATTTGGCTGCTTCATTTCTTTACAATTTTTTTTTCTTCCTGAAGGGCACAGTCTTAAAAATTCACATGCACCTGGAACTAGGAAACAGACTCTAAGGATGGGATTCTTGAATTGTATCACCCACCAGCCAACTGGCAATCAAGACCCCATCACTTGTAAAAGGTGAAGTACTGATAGCCCCGTTTGCTGTAGCAGGGCAACTATTTACATTTTCACCTGGTGAGCTGTCATGGAACACAGATGGGGAAGATGCACTGGCTCGTGCCATGTCGCTGGCATTTGAGAGGTAGGATGGAAATAGCAATAATAGGGATTGTGAAATTGGGTGGTTGAGAAGCACCCCTTAACTGAAAATGAAGGCACAAGGCAACCAATCACAATGCAAATACAAGGGTGAAAGCCAGAAGGCCTCCTTGTTACTATCTAAAGAAACTCTTACCTCAGGTAGCTGAGGGTTAATTATGCTGAGGACCAGGCTCAGGACCTTAACTAAAAAGAACAGCAGGACTTCAACAAAGGATGAATTCTTAGCCCTTCCAAGTCTCCTGCTGAAACTCAGGGCCCTTATACACACTACATTGTTATTTACTATATTCACCAGACTGTGCAATATATTTCAAATGAAAACCTTATTCCTACTATCTAATTGATGGATAATTGGCCCATTTTCCCTTGTTATAAGATAGTGTCCCTTCCCCATGCTTATACACTATGCAGAGGATCAAATTAAGCAGGTGCCATATAAGGCCATAATTGCCCTCCTCATGATCTGTCCCCCACCTCATCACCAGTCACCAGGCCAATAGCTGGGGTCAAATCTCAGTGTGAACTGACTGAGAAAGTGCTGGCCCTGCTGAAAGAAGAAAGAAATTAAACCCAGAAGCCATGGGATCTAGCTAGAATGTGTTGCCAGGAATTGGGAGATTATCCCTGGGCATGGATCCTGAGGAACTGGGAGAGTATGCCTGGGAGTGGATCCTAAAGCTAAATAAGGCAGAGTTTATCAGCATAGGGACAACCTCCCATAACACAGGATTTAACACCTTGGCAAGTGCCCTGGAAGTCAGTTCTAATATGATGCTTAAGAAAAATGATGGTCAATATTAAATGGGATAGAGATGCCAGAACTGCCATGGCAAACTAAGTCGGAAGAAATCACAGGGTCAGAGAAGTAGATATGTTACAACTATCTATTTTATAAGGCCATAGATCCACCAGCTATTTTCTTCATGAGAACCCTGAGGATGTACCATTTAACAAGCCAACAAGGAATGCACCCATGACAGGGACCAACATCACTGCAAAACTCAATAGTGACTGGCCCTCTGTGGGCTGCGTCTTATGGTAGGATGGGCTATTATCAAAT